GGCTTATTCTTTTGAATTATATCACTTTTTCTTTCATGGGCTTGTGTGCAGTGGCGGATCCAGCACCTGACAATGGGGAGCGGCCACGCGTGCAGGGATCCGCCTGAACTTTCAATAGCCGCCAAGCGCCAATTGCAGAGGAGGAGCGACTTGGAAGGAAGAAGGCGAGGAAGATGACTGGGTTTAATTTTTTTTTTTTCGTCTTTTTTTAGATTTGCCATTTTATTTAGGCTACTGAGTGATGGGTTGATGCCTAATGGGCCCTTTTTGAAAAAAAATAACTAGGCCCAATCCATGGACCATGGATATATCATATATGCAACAACTACACCACAAATGGAAGTGAAGCAGTACGTCTAAGCAAACCCTCATTCTCCAATCTCAACCTCCTGGCTCATATCCTGATGTGGGATTTGCGAAGGGAAGCAGTTGTTTTCAATGGGAGATGACGATGAATCACCGTCGACAGACTCTAGAAAGTTAGACGGACTCGGACCTCCTGTGAGCACCTTCCTCCTTCAGTGACTCGGTCCTTCTTCTTTTTTTACTATTATTTTTGTTTTGTGTCCCGTCATTCACAAAATCACATAATTCACATTTTTATTTATTATTTTATGAGTTATGATTTATGTTTTATGAGTTAATTGACAAAGAATTAATGTTTCTATTTTATTCACATTGACAACACGATTAAATTTTATTCCCATTGACAACACGATTAAATTTTGACGAATTAATGTTTCTATTTTATTTACAATCTCTCTCGAGTAATATTAAACCTACTTCTATATATGATCCAATTATATTTCTATGATGGATGCGAATGTACAAAAGTATATGAATTTTTATGAACACTTAAAAATTCACATAAAACATAGCGGTATATTTCTATCATCTATCAGACCCTATGACTATTTATATATGTCAAACTTATTTTTCTTCTTTCGAATGCATGAAATAGGTATCCAAATTCACACAACTGACGTGTACAATAATTGTGGAGAAAAGAAAATTATATAAATTATTCAATATCCAGCAACGTGTTACACTATCAAATATATATATAACTCTAGATTAAAAACTTATATTACATGGTTCATCGTTCTCGTAGTACAAAAATACTAGTCTAGCATGTTATGAAGAAGAAAACAAAAGAAATATTGAAGAATCGACATCACCAAAATAAATCTTGAGTTGAATTTTCGTATTATGTGAATCGATCTTTGTATTTCTTGTCTCCTTCTATGCTCGTAAAAGCTCTTAGAATATAATTTTTTCCTCGTTTTGGATGGCTCTGTGGTTTTAAAAGATGCCATATGATTTGTTTCCATAAGAGTTTTATTAAAATAAGGAAACCAAAATTTTTCCTTCGAAAACATACTATGCGACCACATAGTACAAACACATGCAACAGCATAGTTCAACAAAATTCATTCCTGAAATTTCTTGAAACTAACCATGTGACCGCATGGTATTTACATTATGCGACCACATAGTGTAGCTTAAAATCCAAATGTTGAGTTTTAGTCCTCGAACTCCGTTGTCTCGTTGTTTGATCTCTTTTCTCACTTCTTTTACTTCCAACATTTCATTCATTTGCTCAATTGGTTTTTTACTCTTTCACATCTTCGATTCTTCTTCTGGGTCATTTTTCGAGCATTTACACTTTGGTCCCTGAACTTTGATTTTCTTTCATTTTAGTCCTTTTTTGCTTGTTTCTTTTAAATTCCACCATGTCCATCAATGTTATCCTACAAAACGTAATTTATATAGAATTAAATCATATCAATGCTCATTTTCTTGTTAAGGTAGGTTCGTTGTACTTGGAATCCTTGTTGTCTCCCTTTTTTCTTTTTTCTTTTTGCCTTATCATATTTTTTTCCAAAAAACAAGCATAGCACATAACTGACTTAGATTCATTTCCTATTAAGTCGTTATCCTTACTTCTTCCGATGTCACACTTTTCATACTTATGATTGTGAAGTAGACGACAATACAAGTTTGCAAAATAAAGTATCCAACTTTATTCACAACACAGAGCCCCTCGCTCCAGCATCCTATCATGGAGGACCATCTCAAAATCCAACAGCAAGTTGTACTAGTCCCGTTTACTTCTCTGTGACAAACCCACGACAACATCTTTGTAAACTCAATTTTAAGTTCTATGTTGTTTACTTTTTCAGAACTTCTACTCCTAATTTTGTGCTCTTATTGAAGCAAGATAACTTCTATGTAGATAGTACTACTGATTTGGTATCGCTTGATTGCAAATGAGCAGTGTGCCTAGTGCACAGAACTCATATTACAATAAAGTGAGGCAACACTTGATCTCCTTAACCTTAGGGATGGCAATTTGAACTATTAAAATCAAAAATCATGATTAATCGAACCGAATGGGGTGAAAAAAATCGAACCGATAGTGCAATGAGGTGGTTATGGTTTCGATTTTAATGACCCGGTTCGGGGTGGGGTGGGGGTGGGTATGGTATTTAGAGACGATGTCCCTCCCCGAACTGATTACCCGTTAAAAAAATTAATTGGGGAATTGGGCTTTCTATTATTTTTTCCCAAAATTAATTTGGCAATTTTGACAATTGGGCTTCCCCAAAATTCTAGCACAATTAACATTACTAGTAAACCCTTGACTCAGTAACATAACTCTAATCCTACACGTTAAAATTGAGATCTGGAAACCAAACTTACAAAACACTCGTCCACTCAACCAATGAACCAAATCATATCCGTCGGCGCTCTGGTGCTTGTACCTCAGCTTCAAATTGTAGTAATCAGCAACGAAGTCTACCATTTTGTGAGCACACTCCCTGAGTTATTCTGCGTCCATTGGCTTTAAACCATCTTCTCTGTACAATTCAACAAAACCCAGATATATTATACTTAATTGCATTTTCTTTATAATATTATTTAAATATATCATGCGTGGCCCGAAAAATGTGATTTTTAGTCTGTTTTGCTTGCTAGTTTATTCGTTCTTCAGTTTCTCTGTGTTAGTAAAAGTCTTNTTGGGGAATAATGAAAATTGACATATGCTAGTAAGAGTCTTGACCTATGTTGATAATGTTGTTTGTTAAATTCGAATTTTGTATTGGAAGTTGGGATATTGTTTGCTAAATTGGCTTTGTTTTTATTGACTTTCCTCCATAATTTTTTTTTTTCAATTTGACGGTTAGAGTTTGGACTTATAAAAAATAATTTATTTTCATGGTTATTAACTGAACCTAACCGACTTACGTGGTTATGGTGCAGTTATGGTATGGCAAAAAATTTGGTGGTGCAGTTATGGTTTTGATCGAACTGATCTCGAATCGAACCGTTGCCATCCCTACTTATCCTTCTAACTCAATTCTTAAGGTATTAGGTAGTTCCAGGTCATCTGACTCCAAACTCGATTAATCCACATCATAGACCTTATGGCCATGAACAAAAAAAGTTCAGGTATAAATAATAATTATATTTTACATACGTAAACCACTATTGTTACAAGTCTGTGTCAGACCCGCCACCTCACCCTCCACGTGTCATCGGAGGTGGCCACGCGTCGAACAAGGTGATTACTCGTAGGACGAGTTAACTGCATATGCCGAAGTGATCCTAAAGGAATGAACTGAATAGGCATCAATAAACAAACCGGACTCATCCGCAGATATGTCACGGATGCAAAGGCCCTCACTCCGTTTCTACAACGCTGCAACGCCGCCTCGCCACGCCTCATCGAAGATCTCTTGTACAAAGATCTTTCCAAAGTCAAACCACTGACTGATGGGACGTATGGCAGGACCCAAACGATCAAATCAGCTACTTCTGTGTTCTGTCAAAAATATTCAATGTCAGCCAACATACGGAGGGACAGATTGACACCAAGGATGGGATGAGCCCGGAGGATCTGGCAACATGTATCTCCTCATCCAACGGCTCTCCTCTTCCCATCCTTAGTATAAATACCCTCCACTTACGCTTGAAGAGGGATTGGAATCTAACACACTCGAAACTACCACTACATCATGAAATTAAGTATTTTCCTCCCTTAAATATTAACATTTTTCGATATACCCACTTCCCGACGAATGTTCCACCGCCGGTAAACTCTTCTCTTCTTGAACTTTAAACTGACTTGACTGTCAGAGTGCTTGCGGCCACTCCCAACCCCTCCGGGAAAGGCCACGAATGACTAATGCGTACCATGTGTGCAGGAAGAGCTGACTTGAAGACATTTTCTGTTGGCCACGTGTCAAAGCCACTTTTCGAGGTCAACAGATTGGCGCTGTCTATGGAAAAATTACTTTAACCACGAGTCTTCCCACCAAAAAGCTTGTTCGAATATCCAGATGATATTCTCCCTTGAAAAAGGGGTTGATTCTTGAAAAAGAATCTATACATCAATCTCTGCTACTGAGAGAAGACCCCACATCGGACCATGAGTTCCAGCGACGAATGGGTGAACCCAAGGAGAACCAGAGATATCTCTGAAGAAGAGATTTCACGGAATGTCACACATAGCGACCCCATCACCGGTATCACAGAGGCAACAGAACGGCTCAATTGGCTACCAAAGTGGCTAGTATGGACACAAACATGAGAAATATCGAGGCCCAAAATGCCGTCATACAAGAACTCTTGATGCAAGCGCAGAACTAAGATGGTCCCCAAGCCCCACAAAATCCTCAGCAATCAGCCCATAGACGAACTGAGGCAGAATCTAGCTGGAGGAATTTCAGCCCTCAGGGTGAAGTCCCTGTCGAAAGAAAAGTAGGAATGGATACTTCCAACTACACAGCAGCTCCGGATGACGACGCCCCTGTAGGGGAGGACAACTTCTCTCCGAAATATGAAGAGCAGCCACAGAGGTCTACTAGCATTTTTGATCGGATAAGATGGGCGCCTGGAAATAAGAACCAGCCCAGCACCTAACAACTCGCCAGCAGGAGCGCGCGCAGAGTGAAGTCCAAGCCCCTCCGGCTAGAAATAAGTGGGAAAGGCAGAGCATGAGGGATTGGGGAAATAGATCTGAAACTGCCCAGCATCCACCTCGTCCAGCAGCAGACGGGAATATTTCTGACGAACCGTACTGGTCATATGAACTTGATAATGATGACGATAATTTTCCCTTCTCCAGGAAAATTCGCACATTTTCGATGCCTCATAACTTTGTCCCTTCTAAGATTTCCAAGTACGAAGGGAAAGGCGATCCGAAAAAGCATCTCAACAGGTATAAAACTCAAATGAGCCTGAGATGAGCCTCGCCGCTTTGAAATGCAGGGCATTTAATCTAACTCTAGGTGGAGCTGCTGAAGTATGGTACAGTAGATTGGCACCACATAGTATAAGAAGTTGGCCAGACCTGAAAAAGGCATTCCTAAACCAGTATCCTTCTAGGAAAGAGGGAGAGGTGCGAATTCAACTCCTGCAAGACATGAGGCAAGCAGCAGGAGAGACCCAAAAGAGCTACCTTGCTCGCTTTTCTGATGAAAAAACCTACTGTGAACAAGTTACAGACAAGGAGGCCCTTTCGGCCATGAAAGGAGGATTGAACATGAATACTTTGTTCTGGAGAGATGTCTGAAGCAAGAATACTTTGACGTATGATGCGTTGGTAAAAATGATGAAGGCTGAGATTGTCAACGAAGAGATGATTGGCATGCTGTCGTATGCTCCCAAAAATAGTCCTTAAACCTCTAAAATTAATGTAGTAATGGAAGTAAGGGTCGATCCCACGAAGAGTTTGCAATTCAACAATTTATACTTCGTATAATGATTGAGGGGTTCTGTTATGCAAACAATTGTAAATAACGCAATCAATAACAATGAAGATTAAATTAACGAAACAATCAAAAGACTAACCTTGGTCTAAGTCCACATCCATCGTCGGAAGTCCACAATTGATCACGGATACAAAGATAATTCAATTCATATTTCGAATATTCATCGTTGGAATTGATTCCTATTTCTCCTTAATTTTAGTTAATTAGAAATCAGCGTTCTAATTAACCCTAATTATTAAATAACCTCAGATCAGCGATCAAGATTCAATTTAATAACAGCTTTGCACAATAGAGAAATCGATGAACTAGATAACACAAACACTAGCGGTCGCATTCATTCTATTTAAACATTCTTCTTAAGATTCAATAATCTTTATCGTAGAAAATCATCAAATTCTAGTGCTTCACAAGTTAAAAGAATCAAATAATTACGGATTTGATATTTAACTTAGCTCAAGATTGCAATGAATAATAAACTAGTAGGCCTCCTAGCAATTAAACATAACAATCATAAAAATAAGTGAAGAAGAATATTCAATACGCAAAATAAGAATTAAACAATAAGAAAAATTATTTAGATCTCACAATATATGGTTTTGAGACTTCAATTTCCTTCGACCAACTGTAAAAGTTTAGTTACAATTCATGAATCAAATAGAAAAATAAAGAAGAATGGAGTTTGGATGCGTTCCCCCCGTTCTAGGGTTTTAAAATGTGTTTATAATTGTTTCCATAGGTGGTTAACTTAAATTAGGAAATCAGAAATTTTTCCCCGATTTGGCCTAGGCGAGCGCCCAGTAGAAAATGGGGCGGTCGTCTAGGCATAAATTTTGGCTTCTGTTAATGAAGTTTAGGTGGGCAGCTTTCAGTGTTTTGGTCATATCTTCCTCTATCGATATCCGGTTGATTCGATTCAAAATATATTGGAAAGATAACTCAAAGGGCTAGAACTTTGCTTCAAATACTATCTTCCAATTAGATCATTTGCTATGTCAAAAGTGGGTCTTAAATTGAGACTGAAAATCCGATGCATAACTTTTCTATTGGAAATTGATTTGTGATCCTACGTTGACGATATTTCATCCCTTTGACTTCTTTCTTCATTCAATTGACTTCTAAAGCTCTCAAATCTTCATTGTGAGGCTCAACATGATTTTTGATTATTTGCACTTTAGTCCCTGAACTTTCACTTTCTTCCATTTTGGTCTATTTTCACTTATTTCTTTCAAATTACGTAATATCCATCAAATTGCCACCTAAACCAAAATATGATATTAATAAATACATTTTGGCACTAATTAATCATACGAGCACATAAAATAAAAAGGAAAAACTATGTATTTTACATTCATATCAAATTTACACACACTTAATTCTTGCTTGTCCTCGGGCAAAACTCAAATTTAATTCCCAAAAAACGAAGGTCATAATGCCATTAATATAGAACAATCAAAATTCCTCAAAACATATAACACATCATGAATAAACATTCCCACACAACTCATAATCAATTAGCTAGCAATCTCGTATGAAGATGGTATANATGAAAATGTTGGGCCAAACACAAGCAATCCAATTAGAAACACTAGACAACCCTCAACCTCTAGAAATAGAGGAAAAGGTGGGAGGCCTAGAGATAGGCTCCAGGAATTGCGACCCTACTGTACCATTCATCGCTATTATGGCCACAACACAAGCGAATTTAGAGGGGCAAATAGGCTTGCAAGCAACCCCTGGACTCCAAAGATCACCGTTATCAGGATAACAATCTGAGGCGAAGCCCCCATCGAAGAGGTAAAACGAGACGACACTCCCCCTACAACGACAGTAAGAATGATAGGGATAGACCCCGAAACGAGCAATTCCCTAAGGGAGATTCAGCAGGAGCAGCAGCCCATTCGCGAAATCGACACATCATTGGTGGACCCCATGTGGGAGGTGAATCAAAAAATACACGAAGGAATTATACTAGGGAGGCGAGAGCCCCACTAATGACTAGATATATAGTCAACCAATCACAAAGCAGCGGGGTTGTAGAGCTTATTACGTTCACCCAGGAAGATGTTGTAAGTGTACACTTCCCACACTGTGACGCCCTGGTAGTCAGAGCTGTGGTAGCTTGTAACGGGTTGAAATGCATGCTAGTGGACAACGACAGTTCGATCAATATCCTATTTAGGACGACCTTTGACAAAATGGCGGTAGATCATGAGCTAACTCCTATGAGCTCACCCCTTTATGGATTCACTGGAGACATCATCATTCCTAGAGGCAAAATTACTTTGGCTGTCGAGATAGGGGCCTCGCCCCAGGTGGCACATCACTTCATGGAATTCCTAATTGTTGACCGTCGATCCACTTACCACGGAGTTTTGGGGAGGCCCACTCTGAAGGGACTATAGGTAGTCACTTCTATCCACCACCTCTGTATGAAATTCCCCATAGAATGAGGGATCGCCACTGTCCGAGGAGACCAGATGGGGTCCAGGGAGTGCTATCTGAATTCCCTGAGAAAGGTAAAATCATGAGTTAACATGGTGTTAGATGCTGAAATGTCAGAGGTCCCTAAAGAAGGGCAACCTCCAATGCAAGATATTGTTATGGCAAAGGCCAGATCCGAAGTGTCCTTGGAAGAACTGGATCCCAGGGTAATTGAATCGAAATCCTAAACTGCCCCAATGGAAGAGCTTGAGACCTTCCCAGTGGATCCCCAAGACACATCGAAGGTCTTGCAGGTCGGAAAAGAATTGGAAGAAGAGATTAAGAAAGAACTGAAAGACTTCCTTCGAAAAAATTCAGATGTATTCGCATGGAGACATGAAGATATGATTGGAATATACCCTAAAGTCAGTTGCCATCACCTGTGGATTGACCCTAACTGTACTCCACACAAACAGAAGATGAGGGCGTTGAATATTGAAAGGTGGAAAGACTTGTCAGTAATGGCTTTATCCGTGAAGCTAACTATCCTAAATGGATCTCGAACCCGCACTGGTGAAGAAGCACAACGGCAAATGGAGGGTTTACATTGATTTCTCTAACCTTAATCAGGTCTACCCAAAGGATAGTTTCCCACTTCCGAGAATCGACCAGTTGGTATATTCGACTGCTGGGCATGAATTGCTAAACTTCATGGATACCTATTCAGACTACAATCAAATCCCTATGTTCCCGGGAAATGAGGAGAGCACATCTTTCATCACTGACAGGGGACTTTACTGCTATAAGGTAATGCCCTTTGGCCTGAAAAACTCTAGAACCACTTACCAAAGGCTAGTCAATAAGATGTTCGCGTACCAGCTCGGCAAAACGATGGAGGTCTAAGTGGATGACATGCTTGTAAAGAGCCTCCTGGCCAAGGAACACATCAAGTACCTATCCGAAGCCTTCCGTACATTGAGAAAATGCCACATGAGGCTGAACCCTCTGAAATGTGCCTTTGGCGTGGCCTTGGGAAAGTTCTTGGGTTACATTGTAAATAAAAGGGGAATTGAAGCTAACCCAAACAAAATCAAAGCCCTAATTGAAATGAGGTCGCCGCAGAAACCAAAAGAAGTGCAACGGCTCACTGGCAGAATAGCCGTACTAAATCGTTTCATCTCAAAGGCCACTGAAAAGTGCTTGCCTTTCTTCAAAATCCTCAAAGGGGGGAAGAAATTCCTATGGATCTCAGAGTGCGAAGAGGCATTCCAAGAGTTGAAAAATTACTTGGGACGTGCACCTCTACTCAGTAAACAAAAAGGAAAAGAGCCTCTGTTGTTATACTTAGCCGTAGCCAAAGGTTCGATCAGCTCGGTACTTGTGCGAGAAGAAAAAATGCACATGCTGCCAATTTACTAAGTAAGCAGAGCCCTGTTACCCGCCGAAGCACAAAAAAGTTGGCCCTTTCACTGGTGGTGCCTCCCGAAAGTTGAGGCCATACTTCCAAACCCATAGCATCTACATCCTGACAAATTTCCCATTAAGGCAGGTCCTACAGAAGCCATACGTCTTGGGGAGACTACTAAAATGGGCCGTTAAACTCGACAAGTTCAACATAACGTATACGTCTCGAACAACAATCAAGGGTCAAGCCCTGGCCGATTTTGTTGCAAAATTTGCAAAGGCCCCTGAAGTTGAAGTAAACATGGAGCCAGCAGAGCCTCTTACCTGGAATCTCTTTGTTGACAGCTCCTTAGAGACGAGCTCTGGAGCGGTGTAGTGTTAGAAAGTCCAGTAGGACACAAGCTTAACTGTGCAGTAAGGCTCGAATTCAAGGCCTCCAACAACATGGCTGAATATGAGGCCCTCTTAGCTGGACTTCGATTTGCCAGAGAACTGCGAGTGAAAAGATTGATCATCAGCAGTGATTCACAGTTGGTAGTGACTCAATTTAATGGAAACTTCGTGGCCAGAGACAAACATATGGCGGCCTATCTGAAGCTGGTCATGAATTCTCTATCGAACTTCGAAAGGTTTGAATTGATCCAGGTACTTCGCCAAGAGAATGCCCATATATCGGTTTATCAAATCTGGCCAGCAGCAAAGATTCGGAGCTGCTCAAGGTAGTACTTGAAAGAGCTAACCTTGCAAGAGGATGCATGGGCATTCTCTTGGCGAAGTACCTGCACTCTCCATCCAGGGGGGGCGAAGAGCTGATGTGGATTGAAAGTATACCACCCTAGATGCTACCTATCTTGGCGTACTTGAAAGAGCTAACCTTGCCAGAGGATGAAATCGAAGCATGAAGGCTTCGAAGGAGAGCTGCTTACTTCATTCTACAGGATGACATCCTATATAAACGCGACTTCTCCTCTTCCCTTCTCATATGCGTAGGGGGAGAAGAAGCGAATTACATCCTCAGAGAGGTGCATAAAGGCTTTTGTGGGAATCATTCCGTTGGACCAGCCTTAGCTCACAAGATACTTAGACAAAGGTGTTACTGGCCTACCCTGAAACGGGATGCTATAGAATACGTACGCAAGTGTGATAAGTGTCAACGCTTCTCCAATGTGCAGAGCCGACCATCTCAAGAACTCACAGTTGTATCCAACTCATGGCCATTCGCCAAGTGGGGTGTGGATTTCATGGCCCCTTACCAAATGGGAGAGCGAACGCTCACTTCGCCATAGTCGTCATTGACTACTTCACCAAATGGGTAGAAGTGGAGCCTCTGGCCAAGATTACTGAGGCCAACACTACTAAGTTCCTCTGGAAAAACATCATATGTCAGTTCGTCATACCTTATTCCTTAGTTTTAGACAATGGCAAACAATTCGACAACAGGAAGATCTAGGAATTGTGTGATGAGCTCGAAATCAGAAAGCATTTCTCTTCACCTCATCATCCCTAAGCAAATGGCCAAGTAGAGGCGGTCAATAAGACCATAAAGCTCACCCTTAAAAGGAAGCTGGATGCCTCCAAAGGGGCCTGGGTTTGACGAACTCTCCCAGGTTTTATGGGTCAACAAAACCACCTGCAAAACGGCTACTGGGATACTCCATTTTCCATGACCTATGGAGCTGAGGCGATGAGCCCTGTAGAGGTCGGTTTCCTTCTCCTCGCCGTATACACTTCAACAAAATAACGAATGATGAATTGAGGAAACTTGAGCTAAATTCTCTTGAGGAAAAGAGAGATGATTCTCAAATCAGGCTCGCTTCTTACCAGTGCAAGATGATGCGTTCCTACAACGCCAAAGTGAAGAAGAGAGTGTTCCGCGTTGGCAACCGGGTGCCCCACAAGTTTTTCCCTTCAGCCAAAGATCCAAACACAGGGACTTTGGTGCCAAATTGGGAAGGGCCATATCGCATTGCCGAAGAGATCAGGCCCGAAACCTACAAAATTGGGGATCTGAACGAAAGGATGATGCCTCGCCCCTAGAATATTGAGCATTTGAGGAAGTATTACATGTAGGGAACATGTAGTGTTAAAAACTTTTGTAATGAAATGAATCAATTTTCTATTGACTCCGTTCGCACAAGTACACGCATCAAGTAATATTGGACGAGGTGCAAGCCCCTTCACAGAGGTCACCCCCAATAAAATAATCTGCCTAGTCAAAGGTGGTATGGGTACCATCTTTGACGAAGCAGCAAGTGTACTCGTCAAGCAACGTTGGACGAGGTGCAAGCCCCTCCACAGGGGTCACCCCTAATAAAATAATCTGCCTAGCCAGGGATGACACGGGTGTCATCTTGGACGAAGTAGCAAGTGCACACATCAAGCAACACTGTGTTCATTGGCTACTTCCATTTTATTAAGTGGTCAAACGAGGCCGATGCAATGTTACTTTGTTCATTGGCTACTTCCATTTTATTAAGTGGTCAAGCGAGGCCGATGCAATATTACGTTGTTCATTAGCTACTTCCATTTTATTAAGTGGTCAAGCGAGGCCGATGCAATATTACTTTGTGCATTGGCTACTTCCATTTTATTAAGTGGTTAAGCGAGACCGATTCAATATTACTTTGTTCGTTGGCTACTTCCATTTTATTAAGTGGTTAAGCAAGGCTGATACGATATTACTTTGTTCGTTGGCTACTTCCACTTTATTAAGTGGTTAACGTGAGTCGATGCAACCGAACTTAGCTGTCTATCCGAAGCTATAATAGAAGACGCGATGGTACTTGTGCAATTAAAAGTAAAGAAGTGAAGTAACAACACTTAAAAACAAATTTTATTCATTATGAAAAGAGGCCAAAGCCATTACAAAACAAAAGAAGAAGCCTAATCTACATTTATTATCACCCCGGCTTCCACATCCTCCTCTTGTTGGGCCTCTTGTTGAGCCTCCCCCTCCTCGATCATTGGGCGACTTCCAGTTGGCCCACCGAACTCTTCTTCAAGAAACTCGATGTCTAAGGCAGGATGCCTCTCGCGCAGGCGAGACATCATCTCCTGGGCGGTCCAAGAGGCCCAAAAGTTGGCGAAGTCATCATACTCAAGCGTCTTGTCAAAATTATCCTTGTAATTCTGGATCGCCACTTCACCGACTGTCTTCACCTCAGCCTCCAAAGAGTTTATTTTTCAGCTTAGGCCTCAGTGAGCTTCTTCAGCTCACCTCTATCCTTATTCGCCTCCGCCAGGGCTTCCGAGGCCATCCACTAGTGTTCAGTGGCATCATCGACCCTTTTTGTCAGAGCCGCCACTTGTGATACGAACTTATGGAGCTCGTTATTTAGCTAATTGGCTCGGAGCTCAGACTCATTCAACTGCGAGGAAGTTGTTATCCATTTTTCCTCTACCTCTTCCACTTCCTTCCTCGCCTTCGCCACTTCGACCTCCCAAGTCTCCGAGGCCTTCAACTTCTCCTCCAACTCGTCGTTCCATTTACGGAGGCCTCTGACCAAGTCCTATACCGCTGTGCCCATACTTAGGGCACTGGCCGCGCAGGCATTATTTGTAGCCAACAAATCATCTACATCACACGAGGCGGCGTGATTTTACCAATCCTCGGTCCAATATTTTCTATGGATCCAGGCTGCAGAGGCTATTTAGGGAGGCAGCATTTCCAAGACTGCCTCAGGAAGATCCTCTTCTTTACTCCCCAAAAAATTCATGGCCTTGCCTCGGGCCGGAGCTACCGCAGGCCTCTTCAATTTCTTTCTAGCAGGGCCCTCAGCAAATTAAGCAGTTATCGGCACGATGGCATGAGGAGTGGGTGAAGGGGCCACAACGGTCACCTCGGCACTGGGTGGAGGAAGATGAACAGCGTCAGATCGAGCAGAAGTATAGGCCCCAGTTGGGCTAGCTCTTTTCTTCCTCGGGACAAGGGAGGCTCCTTCCTCCGCCTCATTTTCCTCAGCAGGCTGCTACCCAGCCTTGCTGAGGGATAACAGTCGCTCTGACTGCTTCTTATAAGTAACCGAACTTGTCTTCAACATTTTCGTCTCGGCTACACTCCGACGAATTGTTGCAAAGTCAGGCCTCGGCGCCTTCTTCTTCGCAAAGTCTCCTACAAACAGCACAACTGAATAAGTATTTTCGTATGAGGCTAAGTATTTTCCCATAAAAACATATACCAGAAGAGCTGAAGCAGGGTTTTTACCTTACCTCGACATTAGTCCTTGGGCAACGAAGTGGATGTTCTTATCGATGACCTGTTTGAAACTCCTCTCCAACGGAGGTATCTGACACAATTAACTTATATGTCCCACTCCTCTTCAGAGATCTCACACCTCGGGAGAGAGCCTGCAAACAAGATATATTAAGACCATAAGCAAAATAGACAAGTGAAACTAGATCGGGAAAAGAACTTACTGTAAGTTGAATACGAAGTGGGAACGATAAGAAGCGCCATTGGGTCGCCCTCCATAGTATCCCATCTCTCGACTACCCAAAACTAGGAGCTCCTCCAACCCTTAAAAAAAAGTGGGCAGCCCGATTACAAAAGGGGTGTGGGACCCCCAAGGCGCCAAGTAATACCAACCCTTACTCTCCTTGCCCTCCGCTACACTCTTCGGTAAGAAAAAGGAATGGAATGGAATGTACTGAATGGCATATCCACACCTTTGCTGGCCCGACGCCACAGAATCCACATTCCCACCAGGTGGGACCACGCGTTCGGATCGAGCTGGGTCGGAGCCAACTCGTAGGATCGAAGTACCAACCTAAAGAATGGGTGAAAGGAAAGCCTCAACTCAGCCTTAAGTAAGTTCTCGCTCACCTCCACACAACCTGGCTTCGAGTAGCAGGCCTCTCATGAGGCTCGGGTACGATCAACTCAATGCTATCAGGGATCTTTAAAACTACCCTGCACATCTCAAATACCTCCTTAGTGATGTTGGAGGGATATTTTGATGCCCCCCATTGAACCCAAGTGTCCACAGGGAAGGCTAGACGTTTCCAGATATTATCCCCGGCCCTAATGGCCCTACTCAGCTCGTCTGAAGACACCAGTATAGGCTCCATCAGAACAGAACTCCCCTCACCTCTCCTCTCATCTCCTCACTCCTGAGGCGCTAACAGATTGTTCGCTCGCCATCCCAAGGATTTTCAAAGTTTTGGTAAAATCTAAAAAAAGAGATGAAGAAACTGAAATTGGGGAATGTTACCTAAACTTGTGGAAGAATACCATGCGCTCGCTTGAGGTTTCAGAGATGTCACTGGAGTTGCTAACGGAGTACGTCGAAAATGCAGAAAAAGAAATTGCAAGAGTTCTTGAAAACAATATGAAATTTTCGCGAAAGTAAAAGCTTCGAAATGAAAGGAATGGACCTTTTATAGGTGTTTATAATTCGTCCCATCACATCTGGACTATCCAATAATGAAGCACAAGGATCCCCATTAAAGCCAATGGTCATTTGAATCAATGGCCCTGATAAAGAGATGAACTACACGCGTGACCCAAACACATCGCCTTAAGGAACGAATGCAGTCGCCATCATTACCATTTATGGCAAGGGAGGCTTGTCTTGGAAACAAGCAAATGCCCACTTCCCCCCAATGATTACCTTGGAAAGACACGAAATCCTTCAAATCATTGACACAAAATCCAATACTGCCCCTCCAAAACCCATCACTCCGTTCACCTATCGCTTTGGGCACAATAGCCTCGCATTGCAACAGCTCTCCATGGAGTTGCCAACCATATCACTTCGGCCAGGGCAGAATCCGATGTTGCAATAGCTCCCCCTAGAGTTGCCAACTTCTATCGCTTCAGCCACAATAGCCTCTTGTTGCAACATCTCTCCACAGAGTTGCCAACCATATCACTTCCCCAGGGGCAGAATCCGAAGTTGCAACAACTTCCTCTAGAGTTGCCAACTCCTATCGCTTCGGCCACAATAACCTCGCCTTGCAACAGCTCTCCACAGAGTTTCCAACCATATCACTTCGGCCAGAGCAGAATTCGATGTTGCAACAGCTCCCCCTAGAGTTGCCAACTCATATCGCTTCGGCCACAATAGTCTCGCGTTGCAACAGCTCTCCACAGAGTTTTCAACCATATCACTTCGGACAGGGCAGAATCCGATATTGTAACAACTCTCTACAGAATTCCCAACTGAACCTACGGGACTGAAAGTCTTTGTACTGTATAAATATACATACATAGACTTGCGGGACTATTGTTACGGGTCTGTGTCAGACCCGCCACCTCACCCTCCACGTGTCGTCATCAGAGGTGGCCATGTGTCGGACAAGGTGATTACTCATAGGACGAGCTGACTGCATATGCCGAAATGATTCCAAAGGAACGAACTGTATAGGCGTCAATAAACGAACTGGACTCATCCGCAGATATATCACAGATGCAAAGGCCCACACTCCGCTTCTACATCGCTGCAACGCCTCACCGCCTCGCCACGCCTCATCGAAGATCTCTTGTACAAAGATTTTTCCAAAGTCAAACCACTGACTGATGGGACGTACTGTGTTCTGTCAGAAACATTCAATGTCAACCAACCTACGGAGGGATGGATGTCACCTAGGATAGGATGAGCCCTGAGGATTTGGCAACATGTGTTCCGAGAAAGGCCATGAGCGACTAAAGACGTTCCACGTGTGAAGGAAGAGCTGACTTCAAGACATTTTCTGTTGGCCACGTACCGGAGCCACTTTTCGAGGTCAACAATTATGTTTAATGAAAAAGTAATGGATCAAACTATTCTATTTGAGAGCTTCACAATCACAATCTGAGTTCTGAAAATTTTCCTTTAATCAATCAATTATCTGCATGAACACAAGTTATTTCTTGGAGTTAAAAATAATTAAATTTGAATCCACTTTTTCCACTATCAAGCTCGATGATAATAACTGATTACAAGGGTTGCGCAAAATGAACGCAACACCTTACGGTACAAGAAAAGAGAGATATATAATCGAAAAGAGGATTCCTCAACCAATTAGTAAAAATACTCCATGTTTGTAGTATATTTCATACATGACACTAGCCAATCTCATATATCACAAAAAAGTGGTAGACAAACTACCATGAAACGTGAGACAAAAATCTCAATATGGTATTCATGTAGAAGAAAGAATTGTAGTCTTACAAAATGATTTGATGATTAATTCCACTCGATTCCATTAAATTACCTTGTCTAAAAGCAAGAGGTAGCTCAAACCTCAAAGTGATTTTAAACCACAGAAATAGGGGCGGACGTAGAAGTTTAAAGTTAGGGGAGCACAATTGAACTTGCAAAGAAGTTGGAAGAAATTTTACAATCGAAACTTTACGTCTAAAAAAATTATACCTCATGTAATTTTACATTCGAAAATTTACATGAGATATGATTTTTCGGATGTAAAATTTCGAAATTTTTTGATATCATATTCCATATAAAATTTCCTAATAAAATGATGAAAATTACATTGAGAAATTTGTATCGCAAAAATAATAAATGTTAATGAAATAATTGAATTTTTTTTTTTAAAAAAATACGATTTAGACGTCGTTCTATAAGAGTCACGTTTAACTATTTTCGATATCTATTTGGACTATTTGATATGCTCATAATATAGTTCTCGAAATAAACTTTAAGATGATATAAGCAATTTGTAGATTCGATTAGCGTACGATTGTTGGAGAATTTTTAAAATTAGTTTGTTATCAAAATTCAATTTTATTGTGATTTTGCCATGTTTGATGGAGATTAAAATCAATTTTTTAGTAAATTTTAATAAAAGTTAAATAATTATGAATTCCAAGAAATATATTATCAAAATTAATAGTTAACTTTGATTTAGATTAAAATTTAGATTTTAATCGATACAAAACATAATTTAACAAAAAAAAAAAATCAAAAGTTGGGGGGCCACGTGCCCCCCAGACCCTCCTTGAGTCCGTCCCTGCACACAAAGATCTTGAATTCAAGTATTAGTAGCATTCATTAATAAAAGTTTCAAGCATAAAGCTTTATCTAAAAACTCAAGTCATGAAAGAATAAAGAAATTCGTCAAAAAATAATGATATCTAGCATTAGTGATGCTGAAGCACTATGATATGTGACATTTGTAACAGGTTCAATTAAAGGTGAAATTATGTAATTCATTCAATTGAACCCGTCATTTAATGTTGCTGGTGCTGCCATCTAGACTAGTGTTAAATACCATTAGTACTAAATAGCACTACTTTTCTTCAAATTATAATTGACATTTATTATATACAAACTTGACTCGCTTTCTTATCAAAGACTTGACATACAAAAAATTTATTGTATGACCAGAAACAAATTAGAAAATAATAAAAGGAGGAAAACGTTTCTAACGTTACAATCAATCATTCATTATTATTGAATACCAGACACAAATTAAACGGCCGACCATATTCATCTCTAATCTTTGGCCTAATTTTTTGAAGAATCATTCAATCGTACTTTCTGCTTTCCACACAAACATATCATCAATCCAATTCCTGCTCGCGTAAATTTTTTTTATTATTATTATTATCGATATTTTTAGTTGTATGCCTTGAATGAGTCGTGTTTCTTGAAACAGTGACTCGATAAGAGAGTTTTCCTCTACTCAGATACAAGAATCTAGAAGAACGAAAGCTATTGTAGAAAACTCTCGATAGTTGAATTATAGACGTTTGGAGGTTTTTCTTGATCAAAGTGATCAAAGGTAAATATATTTTGGTTTTCTTGTCGTCCTATTTTAATCTCTTTAGTATGTTGTATCTTTTCAAAGAGAAATGCTATGATTACTGGTGGCGGTGGGGGAGAGGGGGGGGGGGGGGGNGGGGGGGGGGGGGGGGGGGGGGGGGGGGATTGACAACTCCCCTTACCAGCCCTTCACAATAGCCCCCACTTTGAGGGGCCGGGCCGGTCAGGGCACGGGTACAATTAGCATTTCTCCTTTCCAAAAGTCTCATTTTTCGTTGACTTTGAAACATGTATAACCTTGCTTAAAAGCATCTTTTCAAGTACTTAATTGGGTAGAATCATTTGTCGAAAAAGAAAAGTTTAAGCAGGTCAACATACTAAGAGAATTCATAGCCATTCATGCAATATATGTGTGCAGGCATTGCTGCATTTTCTTGAGATTATTGTGTAGAAAGGCTTTGTATATTACTAATCTCCAAAAATTGCTATTTTGTTTCTAATAACAGCGAAAAATGGCAGAATCTGTGGTGAACCAGGTTGCAGACAATGGAGGAGGAGAAGAGAATATTGAAAGCAAAGAACATTTGTATACGGATATGGACAAGTTTGCTCTTGCTGAGTTAAATCTTATTCTGGTTCTTTCGTCGCTCTCCTTATCCTCAGAAGAATGTCCAAATCTCGAGGAAACAAGTGCCGAAAATCGTAAAGAAAAACACAAAATATCGAATTTACAAACAAGAAGGCGAGAAATAAGTGAATTTAGAAGCCCTGAACGTCAAATTTCAAGAGTCCATACCAAGATACGAGATTGCAGGTAAATTTAAGAAACTAATAAAAAATATATAGATTTTTCCCAACAGTGATATAAAACTTCTTTGTCGCCCATGCTCACATTTTCCTTTTATTCGAATATTTCCTCTATTCAGGCACTGCAGGAAAATGTGATTTTGAGAAGACGTGTTGATCTTGTTGTCAAAAGTATGGCACGAATTGTGCCTCGAGTCGAGTCAATGATCGTTCATGGCATATTTACACGCAAAATAGAATTAAAGAAGGGAAGACATGTAAGAATATTTGCTGATTTTTTTGAAATATGTCGTGTATTTTCCATGTACTATGTAACAAAATTGGAAATAAATGAAAACAAATAAATTTATTGTTAATTGATGATTTCGTTTATAAATGAAAACAGGTGCAGGTTGTAGAAGGCAGCCTTAACGCTTCCATCAACCACGCCGTAGAAACATTAACTTACAATTTATCTAGAACTCAGGAATTTTGCTCATTAAAACGATACAAGAATACTTTCTACGGCTGAACAGCAGCCTGCAAAAGCATTTATTGTACTATTCCTCGCTAATTCTTATTGACATCACAGTACGAAACCCCAAAAGAAAAACACGCATCATAAGACAGAGGAACGTATAAATATGGGTTAGATAGTGTTTGCTTGTCGCTCTGTAGAAGAGGATAGCAGCATCAATGTAATCGTTCCTCTCTTATCCCACACCTACAAAAATCACGTGACGAATAATGAACATCAAAGCACTCTTCGCATCAGTCGGATATTCTAATATCAACACCCAGGATGTCCTTCACTTGTTCATACGTCACAAATGCAATAGCGATTGATGGAACGACCTGAACAGGAAAATGTAATATTAAATGATACAGGTCCATCTACACAAGGAACGATTGCTTCAATATTCAGTCAACATAAAACTCGTGAATTTCCCATAAATTTTCCCCTGAAAAATGTACTTAATATTAACTAGATATAAATTTATTATTTGGTCTGTGCCCTAAGTGCGTTTTGACAGAGTAGTATACCTTTCTCGACTGTACAATGAACAAAATTTTAGATTTGCTTGCTGTCTTCTTCCTTAATACTATCTAATCCACCTTATCATACATATCATAAATGCTAGCCTAGAAATGGTAGAATGGGATTCTTATTTAACAATCACACTTGCAAGTGAACCAATTTCTATATTGGCTTTCAGTAGAACTTTTGCCGTGTAAAGAGTTCCGAAAGACAAAATTACAGTCACAAGCTCTCAACTAAAACATAGATGCGCCAGTCAAAATGATTACCCCCTTCAACAACTTATATGCAATTCAGTCTATAGCTTGCTCAGTATTTAATTTCCATTCTAAAATGAGTAGTCCATTTCTGATTCAACCCACATGGAGCAGATGATCTTGTGCACACGCTACCAATTTTTCACTATATTTTCTTTGGTTTGTTTCCTAATATATTTAACCAAATAGTTTATCATTATTGTGATCGAAGCTTATAAAACCTCAAATTAATATTTTTGGAAGTTTTAAAGTAGTGCTTCCATGCCACAGAGCACTGATTAGCACTCCAGGCTGAGTGGCAAATTTCAGGACATTTAAACAAAAAACTGGCAGAAAAAATATAATACGAGACTAACCTTCACTGAGTTGGGAACTAAACCCTTGTACAATGCTCTGAAGCCCTCGTACCTAACAGTTTTCCTGAAAGCATCAATCATGCCAGTATATTCAAGGGAGGCCTTGCTTCTCCCATCACCAGTGACAATTGAAGCGGCATTACTCCAGCCCACCATCTGCATTCTTCTACGGATAACATCAAGAGGGTATGCAACAGTTTGTCCGACGGTACCTGCTGCAGCCCCACATGCAAGTCTTGTTACCAAGCCCAATTCATTATCTTCAACAAGCCCAAATTGATTAGATTTAATCAACCAATCCTTTAGAGATTCATATACAGCAAAGTTGAGACCCACATATGGAACCTGCAAACAGTAAAGAGAGTGATCATCAAAATATGATTGGACACTGTAGAATTTCCAATACAGCAGATCCTATGTAGGTGGAAGAGTTATGTGATTTTGCAGGCATGATAAATATCTTCCCATTCAAAAGCTCAGGTTTTAGAAGGAAAAATCAAATGGAAAGAAACAGATCCTGTTAAAATATAACAGAAATTTTAATGAGGTGTTCCAAGTTGGTCCTGACGTGGATTAGAGGTAACAGGCAAAAGCAAAAATAATATTATTGGCATTGTTAGCCAACCAAGAGATTGAACTAGACGTGAATCTCTAAAATGTACTTCCAACAAAATACTACATTAAATGAACCAAGATTCAACGAAAATGCCAAGGTTGTTTTAACTATTAAGAGCGCCAACATTTCAGGTCTGCAAAATATTTAAAGCATTAACATTGAAACTGCACCTATACACAGAGCTCGTGTCCTCTTTATCACTTCACAGATTAGTAGAGAATACATTTTAATAATTAAAGAGAGTAAGACTGAACCAAATTGATGATATAAATAAGAGATTTAAATATTACACTATGCGAAAGCTTCACAGTATTTGGTCTGGCATTTTAATCAGCCATGTAATGCAAGAAATGTTAGCTTGGAATGTGATACATAGACTTGTCGTGTGATCAGGATGCGCTTATTGTAGAATGTTTGGCAAGATAGGACTTGAAATGGTGATGATTCCTTGTTCTTCACAGGTGACATTGACCAAACAAAAAAAGGCAAAAAAGAATTATGGCTGGTGGAGCAATTTTCACACTGTAAATCAATATAAGTAATATCCCATCTCATGATAACTAAATGCTTATAACTTGTATAAATTGTAACTCAAGCACAATCATTATCTTCCTAGACTTTCTGCGAATACTCTATGCTATGGGTACCATAGATAGTTTCATCATGTTATCCAAGTTGACTGAAGCAAAATGTTGTAGACGTGTCAAGTCTATTACTTGTATCATTTCCATAGTTATAATAGTTCCTCGACTTACAACTCCAATGACAGAAGGAAGCCAACCCTTGTACAAAGCACGAAAACCTTCCTCACGAAGCACAGTTGACAAAGCATGAAACATTCCTCTATACTGATAGGGAGACTTATCTGTCTGCAACACAGGAAAAGGAATATGCATTATGATCTGGAATACACTACTGAAACTGCATTAAATTCTCAGATAAAGCCAACACAATTTCCAAAAAGATGATCTTCAAGATGACTCTCAATACCTGCACAGTAAGTCTGCCACGAACCATGTCCATTGGGTACGTTGCAGACATAGCAATTATTCCAGCACAAGCTCCAGCTCCCAGACGTAATAAAGGAGTCAGCTGAGCATCCTCTGTGGAAGAAAACACGCATGATGCAACTATTCAAATGGCATGATGATCCGCATCTCTCTGCTTGAACCATATACATAGATAATACTAAAAAGTTAACAAAACAGTAGCCTAATCTGTTAGATTAGATCATGCAAGGCTATAAGCATAGCACTTATTAAAATTTGGTCAAATGGTGACAAATGTACTTACTTATCTCGGTGTATCTAATTGTGAAGGAAAATATGGTTATCACTCTAGTAACAGAGTTCAGGTAAATACTGCAACTCCAGAAATTATTTAACCAAAATCTTGAGAACAAATTAACATTTTCTTTACAGGGTAGTTTGGATTATCAGATTATGTAGATCTCCTCATTAATTCTATGTATAAATGATTAAAAAATTAAAACCATCAATAATCAGAACAGATATTTGTGCTTTGTCAAAGCTTACATCCAAAAATTAACCAAGAAAACCTTGACAAATATAAAATGGAAATTCATGAAAAATAACACGTCGCCCATGTTATCCTTTCAATCTGGCCATAGAAGGGTTAACATGGTGAGACATCTCCCATGCAATGAAGGCAACCTTTGAGATCACAACTCAAACCCATATTCTTACTGTTGAAATCAAAAGGTTTAAAATGACAACCAGTATCCCCTTAAGATTAAGGAACAGAAATGTTTAAAACATATAAATATAAGAGGAGAAACAAATAAAGCCTGCTATTTATGGACATATTCCATTCAGTAGAAAAGTGGTTTTTGATTAATCTTCCAATACTGGAATACTAGCAAGAAACTTGGCTTATTAAAAGGGGATATCAAGTATATTCCATGGTCAGCTAGCTATGCAGCCAAATGTCCCAAGATCAGTACGAGATCTTTAAATTAATGAGTTGACGCATCAACTTAGAATGTATTTATTTGGCTAAAAAAACTCTCAAAGCTAGCTAACTGTTGGTTTTCGGTGATTTTAAAAACCTGTTTTTCCTGGGTAAATGTGATTTTCAGTCTTCTGTTAGAATTAGATCAGTATCATGAAAACAAAAAAGGAAACAACTTAGTAAGCACCATCACCAACATTGCATGCAAGCCAGGTTCCAGCATCAAATATATAGGCAGATAAGAAAGTTTCTCTCAGAAACGGACATTACATCAACTGGAATATATATGATAAAAAATCTATGATCGAGTCTTTTTCTTTTTAAGTAGAAAGATGTTGCTGGCCCAAAAATATAAAACTGAAAACAAAATTGAAAAAAGATGTTCAAACTTTAAAGACATGGATCTTTCACTCAACTAATAAAGCAGCAGTAAAAGTTAGGGTACAAGTGTGTGAAGAAAGACAGATGCGTACCATTGCCAATTTGTTGCTGATACAAATATAATATGCCCCTGTTGCAACATAAAATAAACAGTCAATTAGGAAAAGATACCGTAACAAGGATTTACATTTCTCGTGCTATTTAAATATCAAAAGTTCTTATTAACTACGAACAGATATAAGATAAACCTGCTGCCAGTCAATCAAAATGCCGATGCCATAAGATATATACAAGTAATGGATAGATCATGAAGAAAATAGCACTAAAAGCGGCTTAAAGGAATATGTAAACAAAAGAAATACAATCTTGGTCGGTAACAGAACCAAAATTTAAAATAAATTCTTTGATTAGTAAGACCATACTTGGAGGCTTGCTCATAGCTGAAGAACTTTACAGCAGAATTTGGGACTATTCGAGCACAATTGGTGCCATTTCCTTTAAACAACCCTCTAAAGCCCTCAGTTCTCCAAATATATTTCAAGCCTTGAATAGTACCATTGTATTTTATGGTGTGCGGATTTTGAACCTGTAAAAATACCAAAGAACAGGATGAGCAAGTAGTTTGTCCCAAATAAAACATCAAAACTAATGGTGTTCTCATCACATAATAGTAGCCAATGTTTATTTAGGTTCACGGCTTTGCTTTTACACTGAGAAAATAATCTAGATAAAGCATGGGAACCAAAAAGCAACGAGGAGAAAAAAGTAAGATAACCTGTAACAATATTTTTAGTCGTTCCAATGGAGCTACAGCAGTTCGTGACCTGAAAATAAACATTTAGTAAGAAATTCAAGCACATATTTTATTTAAATCAAAAGATGAGCAACTAAAATTCCAAGCCAAACAGTATATTCCAAGTTCCATTCAGTACGCAGAAGGCATTTTTATATTTGATAAAGAAAATGGTTCAGTTACACTATTGTTTTCAACTTAAAATATTCTCTCCTTCATAAAGAAAAAAGGAAATATGTTCTCCATCATTAATCATTAATGTCACAAACATTAATTTATTATTGTTTTTTATTATTTTATTTTTTGTTCACCACAAATTAACTCAAACAAATTACATTTTTCGCCCTTTCTCAAATGGTGAGTACAACTTTTTAGACAAAAGAAAAATCAGATCAATCGCTGAACATTGAACAATACCAATTTTCATCCAGATGCAATCCAATTCTTATCCAGAAAATATACTAAAACATTTACCTAATTGCATGCATGCACACATACATTGATAATTATACATCAAATATTCGTGCAGTTAGAAATCTGACACGCATCCAAAGACACCGGCCGCATCAATTTTCATTTTCATAAACAATTAAATCAACAAGAAATGATCTAATAACAAGAAGCAAAACTATCGAAAAATAGTACTCACACACAAACACACATAAACATTAGTACAAAATAAAAACTTACACGCCTCCGGCTACTCCACCAGCAACGAGAGACTTGCAGACACTGTAGACCTGGTATTTAGTAGGCTTTATTTCTTCTTTCGCAAGCTTCGCCTCCTCAGCAAGGTTAACAATCTTCGACACCGCCGATTCGCTCGTCTTCACATCCTCCGACGCCATTAAAATTACCCCAAAAAATAGGAATATAATACAAATAATCTAAGAAATATTACTTGTCAAAACCCTAAGTAGACGATCAAATCGGCGATTGGGACAATTAGTCTAAGATGATTGCATTCAACACAGCCTCCGCTCGCCGTGGTTCGAGATGGCGGCGACGGTGGGGAGCGATATGCGGCACTCAGCGTAGGGTGTTAGTGCGTGTTTTCTGAATTAACGGCGTTAATGCAAAAGTGGTTTTTTCACCTGCTTCAATCGTAGTGCCTGGGAGTGAGCAGAATTCTGTGTACTTGATATTTTATTGTTGATCTCTCCAATTGGTTGTACCTTAAGGTCCAACTTTATTTTGGAATCGATAGACTTTGCCCTTGATTTTTAAAAAAAAAATGCTAGAGGTACATTACCTATGACATAATGGTTCAAATAATGTAGATGTGGCAGTCATCCACTTATTGATGTGTAAGTATAAAATTTGAATTAAAGGTTGAATCAACTGCCACGTACAATTATGTGAACCATTGTGTGAATAGTGATGTACCCCTAGCATTACTCTTTTAAAAATTATTACAATTTGAATCAAATCCAATAATTAATTTTAATTATATATTTCATGAGATTCATAATTTTTCTTAATTTTTAAACCATATATTTAATCTTTGTTTTTGTCAAAATCTATTAAAAAATTAAATTTTAACAAGACCAAATATCGACTTTTTCGTGAAATAAATAGGCAATTTTCATTTTTTAATATTATCAATATAAAGCATAGAATAATTTCGAAATACATTTATAAATTTTGACGTATTTGAGAAGCATGTGGCTAGTCAGTATTTATTGTGGATACGATCAGTACTAAAAAATCTACAAAATAAATTAATGTCCATGTGAAATATGAATTCATTTATATAAAGACATTCTGGCCCTTTTCTCTCAAAGTCTTTTCATTGACACTGAATTCTATCAACCCGGCTTTCTCGTTGTCAGCTAGTGCGCTTATCAAAGTCAATCTGTCGTGCTTGAGGTTCAAGTACGTTCATTGGGGAGTACGTTGCCCTCCTAGGCTCGCAACACTAAGTAATCCAAGCAACTTTTCAAAAATCACTTTGTAGAGGGCGGGTATCACGCTCAATAGAATTCAAAAAGAATGGTAGTGAAATCCGTTGTCAATGGAGTAGGTGATCGAATGTCCAACTTTCTCTCACACCCGTCTCCATCTCCATTGCAGCAGATTTTTACTTGTGATTTTTTTAAGAATGTGTGGTTAAAAAGTAGAAAAAAATTGAGTTTACGTATAAAAATTTTATTGTTTGAATGTGATTGAAAATGAGTATATAAAAAAAGAATTTTTAAAAAATAGGAGACAACTAAATCTAAATCACTTTATCTGGTAAATAGATGAATGATTCACCCTTTTCATACTTCTTGGAAAGGGTATTAAGTAGAAAATGTCTATATCATTTGTGATTCTTACATAGATCATTTCTATAGTTTCAAATGATATTTACACCCTCAAATTGCGATATTGGTCAATCATGTTACATGAACATAATCATAGATCATCATTTACATTTTGTCGTGTGGTAAAACACCATTTGACAGTTTAAAAAAAGTGAACAATTTTCTCTCCATTTCTTTTTTAACGACACATTAAATGTCAAAGTAGATGTAGCATTTTTGTTGGTCATTTCATTCTCATCAATCAATTTTATGTTAAATAAGCATGTGTTTTGCAGATGACATAAGTTAGAATAGTAAAATTGTCTGTCGACTTAACTCTTAACATTTAAGTTTAATAAAAAACGAAAAATTAGAAGAGGTGAATAAAATGGACAAAAAAAAA